TATCCCAATTGCGTGGATCGATGCTCATGATACCAATCACTGGATTGTCTGGTCCGGACTCGATTATTTACAGACCGCCGACATATAGCTGGAATATTGCTGAGTGCGGCGTTAAACAACAACCAACCAACCAACCAAAATGTGTGGTTTTGGAGAGATCTACATGTGACAGGACTGCACGAGGGTACGGAGACACTGTATCTCCTGCTGTAAGTCGTGTCATGGGATACACAGTTGGAAGGAAGTAGCGGTCATGGAACAGTTACAAAAGGGTTTCTGTATTTTGATACAGAAAATGCCACAAAATAATTGTGATTCTCTTTCATAAAATTATTACAGAATCAGTACAAAACGGCTTTTCAATTGAATCGTAATCGTTACTCTTGAAACATACAAAAAGTTTTTTGTTCATTGGGTATGTTAATATGACTTGATATACAACTAGGCCAACATTAATGTAGCAGCCCAATGGAGGACACCGATATGTGATGTGAACATGTGATGTAAGTACCGTATTCGACGTAATAAGCGCCCCGCTCCAATAAGCGCCCACGGCGATATTTGCTAATATATTGGCAAGTGAACTATCCCAATTAGAACCCCTTCCAATTGATCAATGTACACAAGACTTATTTATTCGTGTATAACACGCACTCGTGTGTTATATGCACCCTTAATTATGGGCAATATAATTCATGAAAAATATATCTGTCGTACATAAACATTTCAGGCTGTCAGCATAAATCACGAAATTTATCATTCAACTCTGTTATTTTTCCACCAAAATAATATTCTAATAACAGCCCCCTTTTTCCTAATTTTGAGAGCGCCCTGAGCGCTTATTACGTCGTATACGGTATATGAATGAACGACATTCCCCAATGGTACATCTGTATAACGGGAACTAGTACTCAAACAAGCCGGTGCCTCATCAAAAAACATGGAGGATGTACTGGTGATGTGGTATTTTTTATGTAGGACGTAGATAAATAGGAAGGATATTCAGAAATATAATTCGCTATAATTCATGACGTTTGACGTGACAAAACTAATACATTATCCATACCATGTCAGCAGATCTAACATAAACGGTATAGATATGTACCTACCAACACAAAGTACCCAGTATACATGGTACATGTGACATTGTAGATATTCGTCACCTTCTCGGAGATTCCGGGACAGAATATATCCCTAGCACCTCATACTTGTAAGCGACCCAAGAATTGAGGATCGGGTGGTCAGGCTCAGTTGCATGGCTTATTGTTTGTTTGTTTGTTGTTTAATATCCACTATTACAGCTACATGACGGCGGTCTGTAAATAATCGAGTCTGGACCCAGTGATTGACATCATGAGCATCTATCCACGCAATTGGGATCGATGACATGTATCAACCAAGTCAGCGAGCCTGACTACCCGATCCCGTTAGTCGCCTCTTACGACAAGCATAGACGCCTTTTATGGCAAGCATAGTTGGCATATAGTGTATCATCATGCCGGTAAACCGAGGGAGATTGGTCATGCTATCACCCACTTGTTCCTGACCGATTGCCACTGAAGGCATAAACTAGCAAACAAACAAACAATATAACGAAATGAATGAATGAATGATATAGTATACATATATAATATCAATATATCATTTAATAAGTTGCGTTTGTGAGGTTTCGTGATGGTCGTATTGGAGGTTTCAAATCACAATAACCGCCTCTGATTGAAATACCTGATATGACCCGGACGAAAATATTTATAGAAACCAACCTCTTCTCAGTCGGTGTCGGTAGACATTTCATGTAGCCGGTAACTTCATGCAGTGTTGAGGTTACTACAACATTATGAGTGGCAATACATTTTGGAAAACAAATAAACACAGAAAAAGTACACAAAGAATGTATTCCAAAGCTTCAAATGTAGGGGATCCGTGAAGATCCGGGGTAGAATAGGTCGCACATGCTTGTCGTAAAAGGCGACTGTGCTTGTCGTAAGAGGCGACTAACGGGATCGGGTGGTCAGGCTCGCATGCCATCGTGTCTCAATTGCGTGGATCGATGCTCTTGATGTCAATCACTGACCCTCCGATCGCCTCATACGACAAGCATAGTTGCCTTATACGACAAGCATGGGTTGCTGATGACCTATTCACGGGTCCATATATATGATCAACATTATTATTACACATATTTTTTAGGACACGGTGATGTCAATCACTGGATTGTCTTGTCCAGACTCGATTATTTACAGACCGCCATGATATAGCTGGAATACAGCTGGCGTTAAACAACAAACAAACCTCAAACGTAAGGCTTTTCTTGAGGTTGGCGGGAAAGCTATGATTGAACGTCCGCTTGTATCAATATAGCCTGGTGGTTGCACTGCGGACGTTGTGTGCACATCTGACACTGGTTGCAATCCATACCAGGTTATGCATACAACAGTACAGCTCTTCCCTCCTTACGACAAGCACTGGTAAGCGGGTACAATTCTACCCCGTTCTCCCTACCGTTGTATTAGGAAGCCACTTCTACGTTCCCAGCAATAGTAACTCAAGGACATAGATACGTCACCTCAAATATATTTTCAATATATTTTCAAACAACGTCAAAATACCTTTTAACAGAGATAAACACATATCGCAACTTATTCATTCCTATCACTGAAATGCGCAAATTGCACGTGCAGGTTGTGAAAATGCCCTTATTGCTCGGAAAATGTCATAACCCTTGGATAAATACCCGTAAGAAGATCTGGTGTAAAGCGGAAGCGAAAATGTTCTTTGGCATTTGCACATTCAGTTGAGAAAAATTGATCATGCCTCAATTAACATTGGAACGGACAGAAAGGGCAATGGGAATGTTGTATATAGGGACAACCCATGTTGCTTGGGTAATGCGCTGTTCGAGAAGGACGATACTGAGGTTAGTCAGTCGGTTTAAGCAGACAGGTGGCAGACCACCCCTGAGCTTCACCTTAGGAACAGATACCTCACAGTGACGTCATCGGGACGGCATGCCCTTGGTCATCTTAACGCTGCACGCTACATGAATGAAGTGTTAACGCCAGTTGTACAGCCATTTCTTCAGAGTCACCGCAAACGTTTTTCCAGCAAGATAACGCCACGCCTCATACAGCCCGCATTACCAGAGCATTTTTCATTTTTTTCAATGGGACCACCTGGGACGACAGATAAGACAACGTCAACCACGTCGACCAGAGACAAGAGTATCGCTAGCACAGGCATTGCAGTCAGAATGGCGTCTGATCCCTGTGTACGTCATTAGGCGAGTGACTTTCTCTGCTCGGCGCCGTCATTCGTCAACACTCGCCCCTTTCCGTAACCTGCAAGAAGACTCGTCCCCCTATCGATGAATATTATATGCGAAAATACGTCGAACCAATCAGAATGCGCGTATGATTTCAAGTTCTTCGTCAAAGAATCCCTCAGAAATAATTTCTGTTTTTACATATGTCTTGCATCTGAAAATATACCCAAGACGCAGTTAAATGTGTTCAATCATAATATATAATTTCGCATGTCCTGATGTGCTTTAAATTGCATCTGAAATATCCATAATATATGGAGAAATATATGTGAATCATTGCGCAACGAGTTGAAAATGGCCTCGAGAGGGGCACGAGTCGCTATTCGGCTTGTCCCGGAATAACACGAGTTGGTCACGAATGCGGCGCCGTGTCTGAGCCTGCATCGAAGCTGGTGAAGGATACACCCGATGTTGACTGAATGGTTGCTTTTTCTTACATTTTGACAGTGGCGGCTCATTTTTATTGGTGATCGAATACTGGACAGTTAACCTTCATCGAAAAACATGTCCATAAAATGAATTTCTTCCAATGGATTTGTCAATGTTTTTGCAAACATGTTGTAAAATGACCCTGTTTTAAAATACATCAATCACCGTAAAAAATATAGGTTTGTTATTTTATGGCCTTGAAAATATAAGAGGTGACGTTTCTTATGTCCTTGAGTTTATTACATCGGTGTCGTCATGCGCAAGGGCGGTCGGGTAGCCTAGTGGTTAAAGCGTTCGCTCGTCACTCCAAATGGGTTCGATTCCCGACATGGGTACAATGTGTGAAGCCCATTTCTGGTGTCCCCCGCCGTGATATTGCTGGAATATTGCTAAAAGCGGCGTAAAACCATACTCACTCGCACTCGTCATGCGCAAAGTGTATCGTGTACAAAACACATCGAGCGAAGGTTTGTTCTGCGAATGTCTGAAACTGGTTGGCACGCCATGAATGATTGTATCTTTGTCTGACAACTTTACAATGCCTCCCTTTATTGCCCCCAAGAAAAGTGCAGGCCCCACACCTTGCCCCGGGAACTCGTCAGCTACATATATATCCATTGCAGTAACGTTGCCATGTCTTGTGACAAACCTTATGAAGAGCCTTGATCCTGATCCTTGAGCCTGGACACTAGTAGCTCTTGTTGGTTGTTACACCACACAGAGTTTCACGACGAGGTACTATTTAAGCACCGTATTCGACGTAATAAGCGCCCCGCCCTAATAAGCGCCCACGGCGATATTTGCTAATATATTGGCTAGTGAACAATCCCACTTAGCACCCCTTCCGATTGATCAATGTACACAACACTTATTTATTCGCGTATAATACGCACTCGTGTGTTATATGCACCCTTAATTATGGGCAATTAAATTCTGGAAAAATGTATCTTACGTATGTAAACATTTCAGGCTGTCAGCATAAACCACAAAATTTATCTTTCAACCCTGTTTTTTTTCCACCAAAATAATATTCTAATAAGAGCCCCCTATTTCTAATTTTGAGAGCTCCCTGGGCGCTTATTACGTCGACTACGGTATATGCTGTCTCTGTAAACGTCGGACCAAAGCTCTATATATTCCATAGCACGTCCCACGTCTATCTATGCCAGATGTGCATCATTCAATGCATTTACGCTTTATTTCATCTTTATCTTTGTAACACGGTACAAACAAATTGAAACAAAACATATCTAATACATTATTTATCTCATTGTCTATGAATATGTTCTCTCGGACTAAAAACTGTCACGTGTAACAAATGTAAGATCACTATTTGACACAACCCATTAACAGGTAGGTGTCTACCATCAGAATACACTTCAACAATGCAGCTGACAGGGTTTTGTATCAACAGAATGAACCCACTACCGGTCTCAGTATGGGTGCGGGCGGTCGGGTAGCCTAGTGGTTAAAGCGTTCGCTCGTCACGCCGAAGGCCTGGGTTCGATTCCCGACATGGGTACAATGTGTGAGGCCCATTTCTGGTGTCCTCCGCCGTGATATTGCTGGAATATTGCTAAAAGCGGCGTTAAACCAGACTCACTCACTCACTCAGTATGGGTGCATGACGGGGCTTGATAACACATGTCCCTGCTTTATTACATGAGCACCATGCGTATATAAACGATTTACTGCTGTCTTTGGTGTGGTGTTCTGTGGGGTAGACACATCTGGAGGTGATAACCTGAGTTCAAATTCGTCATCATGTGGTGAGGACAAAGAGGCAAGTAGTCTGATGATATACAACACAGGACATAGTTGGGTTCAATGCCGCTTCGACCAGCAAGTCAGTAATATGACGTCGTGTCAAGTGGGAGCACAACTTTGACGAGACCCATGATCCCGGGAAGTGGTAGAGAAACCAAGAATCATAATCAAAACTAATTTAGGATTCGAGCCATGGACAGCGTATCCTGGTACATCTAAGGAAAACAACTCTGAATAGCGATTTCCCATCAGTTTAGACCACTTGGCCACTCGTGAAGCAAAACACCTATGAACACGATGAAACCCGTCTAAATACCATATCTCTCAACCCCATTATGGTATCTCAGCTACAAAAACACTAACAGGAACAAACAACTTAAGGATGTTAGTTTAAAAGCACAAACGCCGCCATATTGTCATTGTTTTGAAGACTGAGTTGGGTTCAATGGCGCTTCGACCAGCAAGTCAGTAATATAACCTATAGGAAGATGTGGAGACCCGTCTAAATACCATATCTCTCCAGCCCATTAAGGTATCTCAGCTACGAAAACCCAAACAAGAACAAAACAACCTGTTGCATGTCTGTGTAAAAACACAAACGCCATATTGTTATTGTTTTGAAGACTCCAAAATTTCAGCAGCAGTTCTAATCGCGCCCTTTGTCAACCGGAACACTTTGAAGCCTCTCTCTTCATACATATCCTGTGCATGTATTTTCTTATAAAACTGTAGTGCAGGAGGGTTCCAAGTTCTCCCCATCCACTGAAGTCGGGGGCAGTGTTTGGCCTCTGCAATCTGAAGGAAGAAATGTTCTGAAATGTAGGTGCATGTGAATAACACGCTTTATCTCCCCTTACATTAAAATACTAGTTTCTGACTTGTAAAGGAGCGGGCAATTATTTTCCCTGCAGCAAACGCTTAGTCGGGGTACAAATTTCATGCAGCTCGCTGACAAATCATTTGGAACACATCTTAGGTAACTTACCTATCTCACTTTAGTATCGTTTAGTTTCTGAAATGAACCGATTTTTATCCGAATGCTTTGGGTAAAGGGAAGTGACTGGGTTCGTGTACGTCGTCTGTTACGAGTTTTGCTAATTCAGTGAAACTGTCGACAGATTCCGGACCTAAATGAATGAGGTGAGGTGAAATTGGGTTTAACGTCGGGTCCAAGATTATTGCACTTATATAGCGACGTGCATGCACGTGTGTGTGGCTGCTTGTACTAGACCGGACTGATGCCGATTTATAGTGGTAGCCCACTGAGTTACCATGTCGCAGTTTAACATGAATACCCCACTCAGACACAGTAAACTGACTCCGAACCGACAAGTCCTTGCTTTAACCCCTTAATGCCGAGCGCCGGACAGGGTAACAACAAGTACCATCTTTTAACGTCTTTTGGTATGACGCGGCCAGGGATCGAACCCCGGACCTTCCGCTCTCGGGGCGGACGCTCTACCACTAGACCACGGAGGCGGTCCTAAATGAATGAACGCCGGTGAGATACATTCGTTGTCAACCGATCTCTCGGGGCATCTGGACCCATGTACCCTGTGTGTGAGCCTATGTACACCTAGCCGTCTTGTTACATCACACAATATACCCTCGAGGTCGGTTGACAACTTATACTGTCACTGGTACCCCCTGAGTTACATAATGTGTGGACCCGTGAAGATTCCGGGGTAGAATAGGTATTCAGCAACCCATGCTTGCCGTAAAAGGCGACTATGCTTGTCGTAAAAGGCGATGAACGGGATCGGGTGGTCAGGGTCGCTGACTTGGTTGATGCATGTCATCAATCCCAATTGCGTGGATCGATGCTCATGATATTAATAACTGGATTGTCTGGTTCAGACTCGATTATTTTCAGACCGCCGTCATAAAGCTGAGTGCGGCGTTAAACAACAAACAAACAAACAAACAAAACATCATGTGTGCCTATCACGTCCACATAACAGCCAACCCTACACCAAGGCAGACTCAGTAACTGCCATCTCTGCATACAGTGAGTTCGAGACTACCACTACCCGAAGAAGGGAGTTTGTTGTTTTGCGTCACAGAAAGCAATATTCCAGCTATACCACGGCAGCCTGTGAATAACGGAGTCTGGACCAGTTAAATAACAATGGCTGAAAAGACCAGCAACGTCTCACGCCGTCGGGGCATTATGACATTTATCAACCTCATGTTAGTCTCATCTTAAGACAAGCACTGACAAATGGGTTCAATTCTACTCTCCCACCAATAGTATTATATCGGTGTCGTCATGCGCATAGTATATTTTGTACAAACCGCTTCGAGCGTAGGAGGTTTGTTATGTAAATGTCTGTTGAAACTGGTGGACATGCCATGTGTGATTGTGATCTTTTTCGGACAGCGCTACAATGCCTACCTTTATTGCTTCCAAGAAAAGTGCAGACCCGATTCCTTGCCTCCTGAACCCGTCAGCTACATATATATCCTCTATATATAATACTTGTCCAATCCATGTACTGTAAAACCAGATATACACCAGGACTGCGATCAACTCTTTTGGACCTTATTTTGTAAGACAACAAAATAAAAAAAGTTAGTGTCACGAAAATGTGTAATGTGTTTGTCATACTTTAACATAGACTTACGATAGTCGTAAGATCGCATTATGGAACGGGACCCTGATTGTTAAAGGACATGTTAACCGTTTTTTAAGAGGCGTTCCGCTTATACTTTCAATGGTTTTATATGACAGTGTATTTTATTGTTTAACAATCATTGTAAATGTGTTGCATTGTTTCTGTTGGGATTCGGTAAACGTTCACTGCATTGCGTTTGGGCATTGATCAGTCGTCAGGAAGTTACTATATTTAGATGCTAGTATGTTGTGTAAACTTCCGGTCCGGCATTCCCCGGACGTTGATAGTATGTTAATTCTGTAATGTTCTATGTGGCGAGGGCAAGGTATAGAAATTTTCAGTAGCTTGCTAAATTGTATATGAGGGGACGATGGCGAGTTTACGTATCTCTCACGCATTTCATCGCTTCGGAACCAGCTTTCATGTGAGGATCGATCATAATGCCTGATTCTCTGCCAAGCCCATCTCGGAAGCTTGACCACTGTCGCCGCTGGATGAATAAATATTTCCATCACCAACTATTGCTATCACCACTATATTTTTCTCTTTGACACTGACCACTGTCATCATATTATTTATTGCCATTGAATATTGTTCGACCACTCTATTCTTTACTGCCATTGTAATTGTTGTGCAGTAGATTGTATTGATTTGTGATCTTAGTGAATTGTGTAATACATTTGTTGATCGTATACCACTTAATGATTTCACACGTTATTTTGAGTAAAGATTTCTGGATTAACATACTGTTTCAATCTGGGAATCGACACGCACCAATGGAATTACATCGCCACCCTTGAGTTTGAATGTTCTCGCAGAGATCCTGAGTGTGTGGCTTACAGTTCTTCAGTTAAATAATAATGTGTCAGCTTAAAGTAGAGGAACCCTTAAGTACTCCATAGGGACTGGTCATTTATTAAAGGGGTGTGGGGCGGTGCAATAACATTTGTTAGTTATCATTTTGCTCCCCCATCCCTCACCCGAACGTAGTTCCGATAATGGGTGACACCCCCTCCCCCCTCGCTGTGAATTTTTTTCATGACTCCCCTCCACCCTTTCCCCTTAACCTGACTGGCACTTTAATAAAATGATATAAAATATAATAATATCAAAACAGTTTTGGACAACGTGGTTTGGTCTAAGAGGAATACGTACGTGTCTGCGTCGGGGAATCAACGACTAAACAATGGAACTTTCTGTCTTCTCCAAAGCCATCTCTTCTGAATCCTGGAAGCCGATACATTAGAGTGAATGAGTTGGGCTTAAAGCTGTTTTTAACAGTCTGTTTTTTAACGGCGTATTAGCTTACATGGTCGGAGAGAGTCACGTGACATAGGTCCAAGACGTTTAGACTGGGAATGGCGCTGGCAAAGCAAGGATATTAATTCGAGCTCACCATCAATACATCCTGGATCAACTAAGGGAGGCAACCCTGCGAGTTGTTGCAACCTATTCACTATGAATAAAGTGATCACAGAAGATATCACAGAAAGTGATAAATCAATAAGACTCGCATAGTTGTTATGCATCCCTCTAAACAATATAACATTGTACAGTGAAAACCTGATACTCCACACCCTGCTTTTCAAGAAGCGTCTACGCATAGTTTAAGCGATATTAGTACCGATGATTCGTTAATCCGGATTTTACTGGCAAATACACTGTCCGGGTTAACGAGGTTCCCTTTGCATTTACCCCACAAAACTGTAGGCATGATATTTACTAAAACTAGAAACAATAAGCGTAAAGGTACAAACAAAGAAATATTGTAGTTTCGACATCTTACAAAACCCCTGAAGATCCGGGTAAGAATTGGTCTTGAGCAACCCATGCTTGGCGACTAACAGGATCGGGTGGTCAGGCCAGCTGACTTGGGTTGATGTATGTAATCGTATTCCAATTGCTTAGATTGATGCCCATGACGTCAATCACTTGATTGTCTGTTCGAATATTTAGTGACTGCTGTCATATAACTGGAATATTACTGATTGCGGCGTTAAACAACAAATACACAAACAAACATCTTACTATCTTAATTACCTCGACAATAACGCCTTACACTTTAGTTTCAGTTATCGGTGGATACAAGTCTTTTGTTGGTGATGCAGTCTTACCTACATGACGTTTGAGCTGTCGAAAATCACCCTGGGTAAAAATTTTTTGTTCAGGTTTCAATGTTAGGAAAAACGCTTTTTGAACATGTCCAGTTTTACAATCCTGTTGATGTAAGTCTCAACAACTCAAAGTGTTGAAAAATCGATCAAAACTGCATTCTAATTCTTATGAACGCGGCCAGCCTCCGTGGTCTAGTGGTAGAGCGTCTGCCCGGAGAGCGGAAGGTCCGGGGTTCGGTTCGACGTTAAAAGATAGTACTTGTTGTTACCCTGTCTGGCGCTCGACATTAAGGGTCGAAAACAAGGAATGGTCGACTTAGAGTCAGTATATTGTGTCTGAGTGGGGTATTCACGTTAAACTGCGGCATGGTATCTCAGTGGGTTACCCCTATAAATCGGCATCAGTCCGGACTAGTACAAGCAGTCACACACACACACACACGTACATGCACGTCGCTATATAAGTGCAATAATCTTGGACCCGACGTTAAACCCAATTTCACCTCACCTCACCACTGACCTTACACGTTTGTTAAGTAGGGCTGGGTAAGCCAGCACAGGTAGGCGACTTTTAACCTATTCAATATGTCATCTCTACGGTCCATGACACTGAATAAAAGCATGCATGGAATCACCAAAGGTATTTTCTCCTACCCTTGGTGAGTCAAATGAACCAATGGAGTCGATATATCTGAAAGGTAAACTCGTGTGTCCATGTACGATTGGTGTAACTTTTAGAGATAGTGTAAGTTTTTCTTACTATCTATGTCCATTCTAAATTGACTGTTGGAAAGGCTCGCCAGTTCCTGAAAATACAAACAGAATCACATTAGGGCACAATAGTGAGGATACGTGTCTCACAGTGAAGTCGTATTGAGAGTGAGTGAGTGAGTATGGTTTTACGCCGCTTTTAGCAATATTCCAGCAATATCACGGCGGGGGACACCAGAAATGGGCTTCACACATTGTACCCAATGTACGCGAACGTCTCCTTGTGCAAGACCCTAGTGTCTATGGTAAAGGGGGCGGTCGGGTAGCCTAGTGGTTAAAGCGTTCGCTCGTCACGCCGAAGACCCGGGTTCGAATCCCGACATGGGTACAATTTGTGAAGCCCATTTCTGGTGTCCCCGCCGTGATATTGTTGGAATATTGCTAAAAGCGGCGTAAAATCGTACTCACTCACACACTCACTCACTATGGTAAAGGTCAGGATGATATACAAATTCATACCGTGAAGCGTAGAGCACACGTTTCCCATATCGCAAACACCTGGTGCACATTCATATGGTGAACACATGGTGGCATTAGTAAGGATGCTATACACATTCATATGGTGAACACATGGTGGCATTAGTAAGGATGCTATACACATTCATATGGTGAACACCTGGTGGCATTAGTAAGGATGCTATACACATTCATATGGTGAACACATGGTGGCATTAGTAAGGATGCTATACACATTCATATGGTGAACACATGGTGGCATTAGTAAGGATGCTATACACATTCATATGGTGAACACATGGTGGCATTAGTAAGGATGCTATACACATTCATATGGTGAACACATGGTGGCATTAGTAAGGATGCTATACACATTCATATGGTGAACACATGGTGGCATTAGTAAGGATGATATACACATTCATATGGTGAACACCTGCTGCCTTTAGTAAAGGATGATATACACATTTATTCCGCGAACTGCAGGTGTCTATAGTAGAGTACACGTTTCAAGTCAGCGGTTGTATTATATTACTAATATAGAGACGTTTGAATTAATTTTGTTTCTTTTCATATTTTGCTTGAATTCATTTGGATTTTCTCCCTGACATATGGCGCTCTCTTTTGAGACGGCCTCGATTTGGTGAGAGTTCATAACAGATGGTCGTTCCTATCTAGTTTCATAGATAGATGTCAAATCTCTTAAAGACTATACGTGAGAAACAAATGAATCATTTAGCAAAAGAATATATTCATCTTATACGAATTTATATGACTTCATATACGAATTTACAGAAGATAACATTATTCCAGCCGAATAATAACATTAATAAGAAATGTCATCTAATTAATGAAACCGCTACCACTGCGTTGTTGCTTCTATACAACTGTGAAAGACCATCATTTTGTTTGGATAATAGGTATTTTGTCAGGTTCAGCTGCAAAAAAACTCCAGATATCACGTTCATTAAAACGATGAGCCAAATTAATAATAATTTTTTAAAGCATTTTCAAGGACAATATATTTTTTCTGATAAAATCCCAGTTGATAGTGTCAACATCATCACTCTTATCACCTGAATTATTAACCAGGTATTTTGCGTGATCGTCGAAAGACGTGCGTTTGACTCATCGACTAAACTTCCCCGATATGCTAGCTTGTGGTACAACAACCAGCGAATCTTAAATGTCATACACATTGAGTATTGCTCTCACCCGTAACAGACGTAGAACCTCCTCGCCGTCCTCCTCGACGGCAGCACGGACGGTGTTGTTGGACATGGTTGCATCTACACGTATCCCACGGGTGCATCCCCAGTCTGTGCCCCCAATCTGTGCTCCACCCCTTAAATGCGCGGTCTCGCCTGGAAACTCCCTTCGAAGAGCTTACTCTGTACAGGAAAAGTAGAATACGTAGGTGAGTCAGGCTCCTCGCAGCGATAGCCCGTTCGCGGAGCTCTCTATACTATCGCCACCAGTCAAAACTCCCCACTGTGATAGGTGGCCACAACCATGCTTGGAGTTGAACTCGCAGCCGAATGACTGTTATGTTTACAAACAAGTGACGACTGTCGTGACGCCGAATACATTTACCCCTGCTAAAATTACTTTCTTTGTTTGCCAATTTGAATTTCTATTTCGTTAAAACTATCGTGTTATTGATATAGTAAGAATGTAAGGGAGAAGTTGGTTAATTTTCTGTTCGTCTGCAATCTCGAACCAATCTGATTATATACAAACAACAAAGTAAATTCAACTGGAAAACATGGTCAGTCGTAAACCTTTTCAAAATTCACTATGATTGCATTCCCAAAGACATAAACAAAAGTATGAACGTTACTACATTTGGGGTTAGAGGCCAAATTTCAAGATCCTTGTAATGGCCGCGCCCACACTGGTGGCAGCGAAGTTACCGAGAGTGTAACGAAGGTGTCGCGCGCTGGGAAGGAGCTTGGTAGTTGAGTGTTTAAAGGGAGATAACCGAGTTCGATCACTTACTCAGCCTGCAGTGGTGTCCTGATATTGCCTGGGTCAGTGTAGCGCCAGCGCTGCATACCCGGGAAACCAGACTGACTCACTTCGGGCCTTCCACAGGGAACTGACACCCCGTGACATAACTGAATACTGTTAAACCCAACTCACTCCCTCACACTAAGTGTCTCCTCTTGATTTTTTTGTTTGTTTGTTGTTTAACGCCGACCTCAGCAATATTCCAGCTATGACGGCGCCCTATAAATAATCGAGTCTGGACCAGACAATCCAGTGATGACATCATCAACCAAGTCAGCGAGTCTGACCATCCGATCCCGTTAGTCGCCTTTTACGACAAGCATAGTCGCCTTTAACGGCAAGCATGGGTTGCCCGGATCTTCCCGGGTAGATCTAATGATTGAAATGTTATTAACATTTACCGATTTTGTTGATGGAGAAACAATAATTCTATTAGCATAGGGAAAGAGTGATCAACGTCTACTGACAAAATATTTTTCTATATATAATATAATAATATATAATACTGTCCGCGACATGAGTAACAATAAAACAGTTATAACATTACCTTCACATGGTGCCTTTTTTAGGAGAGTGCGTTGAGGCACGTACCATGATTGGAAGTAGAAACACGCGGAAACCTCCTATTAGTTGCTGTCATGTTGATGCAAACTGATACTCCGCATAGTTGTTCCCTTATTAAACTAGGTGAGGTGAAAATGGGTTTAACGTCGCGTCCAAGATTATTGCACTTATATAGCGACGTGCACACGTGTGTGTGTTTGTTGCTGCTTGTACTAGTCCGGACTGATGCCGATTATAGTACTAGTGCACTGAGATACCATGCCGAAGTTTAACATGAATACCCCACTCAGACACAGTATACTTACTCTGAGCCTACCAGTCCTTGTTCTAGCCCCGTAATGCCGAGCGCCAGACAGGGTAACAACAAGTATCATCTTTTAACGTCTTTTGGTATGACGCGGCCTGGGATCGAACCATGGACCTTCCGCTCTCCGGGCGGACGCTCTACCACTAGACCACGGAGGCGGTCCCTTATTAAACTAGGGACGTCACGCCGAAGACCCGGGTTCGATTCCCGACATGGGTACAATGTGTGAAGCCCATTTCTGGTGTCCACCGCCGTGATATTGCTGGAATATTGCTAAAAGCGGCGTAAAATCATACTCACTCACTTACTCCTTATTAAACTATGTCAACAGATATTCCTTTGCTTTCATTTCCGATAAGCTGCATGCTGGTTCTTAAGATATGCATTTCTTCCTTGAGCTTATGTTTGTTTGTTTGTTGTTTGACGTCGCACATTCCAGCTATATGGCGGCGGTCGGTAGATAATCGAGTCTGGACCAGACAACTCACAAGCCTACACCTGAAGTCTGTCTACACCTGAAGTCTACACCTGAAGTCTGTCTACACCTGAAGTCTACACCTGAAGTCTGTCTACACCTGAAGTCTGTCTACACCTGAAGTCTACACCTGAAGTCTGTCTACACCCGAAGTCTACACCTGAAGTCTACCTACACCTGAAGTCTACACCTGAAGTCTGTCTACACCCGAAGTCTACACCTGAAGTCTGTCTACACCTGAAGTCTGTCTACACCTGAAGTCTACACTTGAAGTCTGTCTACACCTGAAGTCTACCTACACCTGAAGTCTACACCTGAAGTCTGTCTAAACCCGAAGTCTACACCTGAAGTCTACCTACACCTGAAGTCTACACCTGAAGTCTGTCTAAACCCGAAGTCTACACCTGAAGTCTACACCTGAAGTCTACACCTAAAGTCTGTCTACGCCTGAAGTCTGTCTAAGCCTGAAGTCTGTCTACGCCTGAAGCCTGTCTACGCCTGAAGTCTGTCTACGCCTGAAGTCTACACCTGAAGTCTGTCTACACCTGAAGTCTGTCTACGCCTGAAGTCTGTCTACGCCTGAAGCTTGTCTACGCCTGAAGTCTGTCTACACCTAGAGTCTGTCTACGCCTGAAGTCTGTCTACGCCTTTAAGTCTGTCTACGCCTGAAGTCTGTCTACGCCTGAAGTCTGTCTATGCCTGAAGTCTACACCTGAAGTCTGTCTACACCTGAAGTCTGTCTACACCCGAAGTCTACACCTGAAGTCTACCTACACCTGAAGTCTACACCTGAAGTCTGTCTACACCCGAAGTCTACACCTGAAGTCTGTCTACACCTGAAGTCTGTCTACACCTGAAGTCTACACTTGAAGTCTGTCTACACCTGAAGTCTACCTACACCTGAAGTCTACACCTGAAGTCTGTCTAAACCCGAAGTCTACACCTGAAGTCTACCTACACCTGAAGTCTACACCTGAAGTCTGTCTAAACCCGAAGTCTACACCTGAAGTCTACACCTGAAGTCTACACCTAAAGTCTGTCTACGCCTGAAGTCTGTCTACGCCTGAAGTCTGTCTACGCCTGAAGCCTGTCTACGCCTGAAGTCTGTCTACGCCTGAAGTCTACACCTGAAGTCTGTCTACACCTGAAGTCTGTCTACGCCTGAAGTCTGTCTACGCCTGAAGTTTGTCTACGCCTGAAGTCTGTCTACACCTAGAGTCTGTCTACGCCTGAAGTCTGTCTACGCCTTTAAGTCTGTCTACGCCTGAAGTCTGTCTAAGCCTGAAGTCTGTCTATGCCTGAAGTCTACACCTGAAGTCTGTCTACACCTGAAGTCTACCTACACCTGAAGTCTACACCTGAAGTCTGTCTAAACCCGAAGTCTACACCTGAAGTCTACCTACACCTGAAGTCTACACCTGAAGTCTGTCTAAACCCGAAGTCTACACCTGAAGTCTACACCTGAAGTCTACACCTAAAGTCTGTCTACGCCTGAAGTCTGTCTACGCCTGAAGTCTGTCTACGCCTGAAGCCTGTCTACGCCTGAAGTCTGTCTACGCCTGAAGTCCACCTACACCTGAAGTCTACACCTGAAGTCTGTCTACACCTGAAGTCTGTCTACGCCTGAAGTCTGTCTACGCCTGAAGTTTGTCTACGCCTGAAGTCTGTCTACGCCTGAAGTTTGTCTACGCCTGAAGTCTGTCTACACCTAGAGTCTGTCTACGCCTGAAGTCTGTCTACGCCTTTAAGTCTGTCTACGCCTGAAGTCTGTCTACGCCTGAAGTCTGTCTATGCCTGAAGTCTGTCTACGCCTGAAGTCTGTCTACGCCTGAAGTCTGTCTACGCCTGAAGTCTGTCTACACCTGAAGTCTGTCTACGCCTGAAGTCTGTCTATGCCTGAAGTCTGTCTACGCCTGAAGTCTGTCTACGCCTGAAGTCTGTCTACACCTGAAGACTGTCTACACCTGAAGTCTGTCTACACAACTGTAAGAAATATAATACGCGAGCAGCTATTAGTACCCTAATGTACATCACACCTTTACAAACTTAGCACTTTGATATTATTTACAGTGTGAGCATGTATTTATAATTTGATATTAGCAGTGTCAATTTCACAATTACGATGGAAATTATTTACAATGAATCTGATAAATTAAGAATACTAAATATTGCACGAAACGTCAGTGGTTTATGATTGAAAAGATTGTATTAGTATTATTGCAAATGACACAGAAATGATATTTTGTAATTTGAAGTTGGTATTTGTATCTGTGAATGGCTTGTTCTTTCTTTGTATTTCAATACATATAGTTTCTTGGGGTTTCCATTTTACCATTCATTGATGTTGGTTGGTAAAACAAACACAACCCAGAATTTTGTGTAAATAAAAAACTCAGCCTCAAATAAGTCTCCACTGCAATATGGCCATGCTCATCAGTACAGAGTATTTCGTGAGCAAAGCCATAATCTTTGACATCCTGACATGAGCATGATAGAAAATATGCCTGTGACACTTATCTATTATTAATCATTTCAAGTGAGTGAGTGAGTTGGGTTTAACGCCACTTTTTTAACAGTATTCCAGTTATATCATGGCGTGTCAGCTTAATGTGGGAGGAAAGCCCGAAGTGATGCAGGTCTTAGACGTTTACCACTTCGGTGAAACCCACGAGCACGGGTATGGTGCTGACAAACCTAGAAACATAATCGGGGCGAACTGGGATTCGAACCCACAATCATAGGCTTCTGGTGCGCCCAAGGGACGCAACTCTGCACAGCGAATCGCGGCGCCTTAGAATACTGGGCCACCCGTGCCCCCTTAATCCTTCAGAGCGTCAGTTGTCAGACAGTATTCGCGTATGCCAACCACGGCAATCAATGCACGGACCTTCTCGACGAAGGGAAGAAGATGTGATACGTCTTATCAGAAGAAATGGGATTAAACGCCATTTCCCTCAGGAGGACTGTACTATTAAACTGATCCTTGTTATGAGGGCGACCTGGTTGTGCTCTAATATGACAGTCAAGGTTATCCCACAAGCCATAAGAGTTCTACAGGTGATAGGTCTGGTGATTGTGCTGGCCAAGGCA